ATGGAATTTTTCACGTCATTTACAACTTTTAACAGGGAGACCAATTTTCCATTGGATTCATTTATATAATAAAAATTAATTTATATTTTATATGATATATTGACATTTAAAACAATAGCTTTCTTTTTATGGTAACTAAAACTACACGTAATATGAAACTGCTGATTTCTGGACAGAGAAACATGTTCTTTCAAGCATCTTGAGCTAATAAAAAATATGAAATATAAAAATATAAAAAGAGCCAATGCGGTGGGTTAAAAGAATAGTACCTAACATGGAACACAAGAAATTTGTAAAGAAATATCTTTCATTTTTTAATCGTATATTACATCAATTTTCTTTGTCTTTTACGCGTTGAACATGAAAATGAATGTGCAATCTCTTCTTGATTCTAATGAAAACAGCAAATACATTTGATTCATTTCTCGCTATTATTGTCGTGTTCTTAACTTTCGCTACAAAACAAATATCACCAAATATCAACATCATCATCAGTAACAGCGTCATTGACATGTTCGATATTACACCGTGTTTCATATTAACTACAGTTACCTTAATCCGTTAATTACATTACTTATAAATCAAGCCGATGCATGTGTAAACACCGATTAACTATTATCACATTGTATTTATCGCTTATTGTGCGAAATTACCGATTTTACCTAAACGGCCAGCGTTACATACCGTCCACATTGATTAATACGTATACCAATTGTTCCCTTATCAGTCGTCCTCCTAACAGCGTCAATATCTTTTTTTAAGAACGAAACAGAGAAAAAGAAAAGAGGGAACAAAGACAGAAGAGTATGGTTGATGACAGAAATACGAAAATTCACGAGGACGTTAGAGAAACGTGTCAAAATCGAGGACATTAATTAGGAAGTCTTAGAAATTTGTTCGTACAAGGAATTCGCGGGTTGAGAAAACTTGGTTAATTCGTGAACTTGGCTTTTTATATAGAAAAATGAACTGAGTAGAATTGCAGAACTAATTAAAACGTGCGACTCGTAACGTTATGCTTCACATAATTTGTGGAACCCTTTTCGTGGTTTCAGCATATAGGAAAATTTAACGCTAATTTGAGCTACCACGGGAATCATCATGCATCAGCCTTGTTCGGCTTGAATTCGAATTAATACGACAAACCTATTATTAATAACGTCGGCAAACTGACTGATAAATGGTTCGCGCTAATTTTGTACATTCGGGAATCGCAAGATCACGATGCAAAATATTCGCCATAGAGGTTCTCATAAATACCGTGTATTATCGCACACCCAACATCAAGTAATATTTTATCCGCGATAGATAAAATTCGGGATGCGATCAATGCTATCCAACTAATTAACTCGTGAAATTTTTATTTATACGATATTAATAGGAAATAGAATTTATTTTATAACCAGTCCCCTTGCAAATGATCTAAGCGAATTAAAGTTATAACAGCTGAAGAATATCGTTCGTGTCTGTTGGCTTTACAATTACTTAGTTGCTTTGCATTATTTCTTTATGAATCATTTTATTCTTAGATTTCTAATATTTTCCTACATATAGCACCTGCTCGAGGTATTAATTCCATTAATTTCATCGCGAAAGTCATGAGATTGATAGCTAAGAACCACCCAAGATCTCTAATAAACAAATTATATGCGGTTCGCATAATTCCATGTATGCAATAATTTTCTTATTGCAGGAAAGATGAACTTATGCGAAGAATTTGTTCTCCGTCCTGTCGCTGGATGTATGGCCTACTTATATCGAACTAATGAATTTACGAGGTTCCTTCCCCACGCGACCGTGCGAGCTTACGGTGGAAAATTTTCATCGTGATGTTAAGTTAGATAGTATCAGAGATTAAAAGTATTCTTAAATAGTAATTTCGATTAGGAACCGATGTTATTCTTGTGATATTAATGCATTCAAGAACGCGATATGTTAAATTCTGGAGAATTCTCCAGTCGATTTTATTTTCCGACGTATAAGCCGTATATTCGTCAATTTTTAGTTTTTAATTTTCTCTAGAATTTTCTACCCGAATTCAGAGTGATCGGATCTTAGATTACGACAAATTCTTAACTGTAATAGAAATATACACTAATGCTTACGATTAGAAGTATGCAATCCTCGTATAGTTTTACCCGAACCTAATTTAATATAATATATTATGGAAAATTACGGATAAAAGAATCTGCGATAATCGCATCATTTATTAATATTATAACTGTGTATCGTAAGAGGAAGAAAAACGAAATCGTCTATCATTCGAAAGATATTAATTTTTCGATCTACGTGTCTGTTCATATCTCTTTTTTCAATTCGGATTTAAAAATTTCGGATTTTTGTTTTCTATGGCGTTGCATATAAAGCGATATAGAGAGAAGTTCGATGGCAACCGAACTTCGTGAAATACCTGCATATTTAGCGGAAGGGTTGTTAGTGAGTGCCTTGAGACTGCATAGTATCAAGAGTAAAAAAAGAGATACTGTCATATCATAACAGAGATGTCCTTTATTCTTTCCATGGAAACTACACGGCAGCAATTGCGGAAATAAACGCGATCCTAGGGAAAAACACGAACCAGTGAGGCTGTCTCACTGATTCGCAGTTGAAATTTCAGTCAACAGTCTTCATTGTTTGGCCAGTCTCTCATTTTGTCCCCACGGCGGTATTAAAATCTTCCACGTGCTCGACAGTTGTGGGAGGTATAAGTTCTGGTTTGAAACGAAAAAAACGCAGTCGACCACAATGAACACATTGAGAGGAAACGAGCTGTACATATCGTCGCACATCGTCACTTTGCACCTGTCTCGACACAGGACATTTAACAATGCTCCAAAGTACAGATCCACGAATACGAATCGTGAACCGAATGCCGCGTATGTACGTATGTATATAGATTGTAGATACGTGGGCAGAGATTGCATCGGTATTTGTTATTCGGTGTTGGTATTTGTACTCTTGCCTACATCAATGTGTACGCGCAAGTATGTATATGCGATCATTCGATTGTGCGCATTCACGTCGCGAAACAATACCCCCGAGTTCAGTTCACCCCTTTCCCGATAGCCCTTGCTCCCCCTTTTTCTCTTTCTGTCAATTTCTCTTTCATTTCTTCCATCGCTGCTGCTTTTGCCTCCCTGACCCTTTGCCTGGCATCCAGATGCTCTACGGTCTTCGTCTGATTCACTATTTTCCTTTTCTTAGTCTTTTTATCTCTTTACATAGGCGTTTAATTGTTGTTCTCTCAACTGTTCGTAAATCTCTACAATTATTCCGACTCTGGCCTAGTTTTTGTTTTCTCCCTCCTCACACTTTATTTCTTTAGATACGTTTCTTTAGCCTTCCACGTAGTTTCCTCGTTCGCCTTCCTTCTTTTTATCCTTGCATTCTTCTTCCTGCCCTCGATTTACCTCTGAGCTGAGCTTCCTTCGATCTGGAAACTGGCTCCGTTCTCTATACCCCTACAGTTTTTCTTAACGTTTGTCTACTTGTTTCCGATTGTTGAGTTAGCGAAATCGTTTAAAGAGGACGGGTCGGCTAAAATACATTGTCTAATTGTGTAGAAACTGAGATATATACAGGGAGAATCCGGCGATGCCTAGAACTATAGGCTGGCTAACGGGATTACTCTCGTGCAGCTTTTCTGAATACAGACAAAGTTCGGTATTTACGTGGAGGATACGGAGGCGAGGAAAGAAAAATCTCTGTCTGGTCGTTAGCCAGCAGACAATACAATCTGAGCGTGGATGCTTTCCATTCTAAACATACAGTGGATGAATTCACGCGCATATCGCAGAGATGCTTGGTTTTCAGAGTGTCACACACCACGATGCAACATTAATAATTAGAGCTAGCTCGAATCTTGGTTAATAACGAGGTTCTACCCCTCGTACTCGTGCACCTTTAGTTATTTCGCGTCGTGTCATGGCTTTTCGAAATCGATGATATTCGGTAGAAGTACGTATATCGTATTGCTTCACAGGAATTTGTGAAGTACATCTACATATATACGGGTATACACACATGTATATCTCTGTTTAATATTTAAAATTTAAATGAAAGACAAGGCAACGGTTAGTAATTAAGGAAAAACACGGAACAAGATATTGCGTGACCTTTTTTTAATTACGATTAATCTTTCGATGGGCACAAATCGAGTGAAACGTGCTTGATACGATGAGTATCGAAGCGGTAATTTTTATGTACCGAGAATAGTATTTTTATCTAATGAAAAAGGCATCGGATATACATTATTATTAGCTTTTCAAAACTCATAAATAGTATCTGATGAAGTTGTTTAAAATATTTTTTCTCACATTGCGTTCCTGTGAGTTGTATTTATTTATGCAAAGTTCAAGTAATACCGAATATCCACGAGTTTTTCCTCGTGGACATTTTTTCGTACCCGCGAAACGTTATAAGGTATACCAATATAATGAAATGATCAATAAATCCTTCTTGGTGCGGAATTAACTAGAAACCTCGTTCATTTCTATAAAACTTATCGGTCTTTGTGTGTGATGCATGAATCTATATATTATATTCATGGAAATTCAACCAATTTACCGGAGTTAATCTGCATGACCAGCTGCTTTTTAAATGGCTGTTTCATTCACGACTAGAATTTAACCAAGCAAATGTATACTCTGATTTTATTCTCGTTAACAGGAGGAGTCCGTTGAGCATAATTTCTTAGGAAAATATCGTTTGGATTGCAAAAATTCACTAGTCGTTTTATCACCTATGCAGCCACGCGAACATTCTATCGTGTTCCAAAGAAATGCTTTTTCTACGGGATATTATATTTTTTCATTTGTTTAAACAAAGTTACTTCTCTGATAGCTCTTATCTTTGATTGTAATTCTTTTCAAGATACATGTCGTAGTCGATCTCGAACGTAGTAATTAAGAAACATAGTAACTTCAAAGTTTGTAAAAGTGGCGATATCCTTAAAACATTGCTTGTCCGATGTTACCAATTCATCTTTCTTCGTTTTCCAGATTTCTACGTTAGTGTCGCACAGAGAACGTCCGCTATGTTCGGACAGAAGTCTCCGTGCTGTTGCCAGAGTCGGACAAGCTGTGAATCTGGCAGTAGAGAGGTTCGTCACTGTTGGCGAAACCATCGCGGATGGAAATCCAGAGATCAGGGAGGACATGTACCAGGCGTGCAAGAGAGCAAGAGATGCTGGTAAGTCATTGTCTGCAATCTGTCTATAGACCATTATTGACTACACTTGATTTGCCGTTATATACGTATAATGAATGAGCCGAAACTAGAGAAATCACGTTGCAGGCGTTATTTCTTCAGATTTCGACTTTTATCGAACATAATTCCTAATAAAAAATTGTTAATTTCCATTTCTGTACGTTAACGTGCCGGAAATACATATATGCAGGAAATTATTTCTTCCGTCCATTAACACTGGGTTAAAGACCATCTACATATATATAAGATTTTCACGCAACATGATGCGCAAAGTTCGTATTTGTCGCGTTAGTAATCGGTCATCGAGAGATCGTCGCCAAAACTTTTTAAGCAAATAGAGGTGACCTAAAAAATTTTGCGAAGATTTTAAAGCCGCTTGAAGATGTAAAGACGTTTGTCACGAGTTGTCGCTTCTAAAAGTTGAAAGGATATCTCTCAGCAGACACTCAAGCTCGTGCTGACGTTCAGAGAGACCTTGTCATTGTTACTTCCAACAAGTTTTACTCCAGCTTGACTTCGGTCTACTTTGCTTTTTTGACAATCGGCAACATTGCCGCATCGGTACTCACCAGTAGCTCTATTCGTTTGGAAATAAAATCTCTGATAATACCTTACTTGTCTGCGAAACTCACGATAACGCAGCGTTATATCGTAGTTCCTTTATTTGTAGTATACTTCGTACGATCCAATGCGATGCGAAGTCAGTCGATGAGACGCAAAATTTCGAAAATGTTAAATGTATTGATGTACAGAGCGGGACGAAGTAAAAGAAAGTAGTTGGGAACTTGGAAATATTATAATCACCGTTCCAAGAGCGTCCCAATGATTTGCAGCAACAGCGCCGGTTCCATCTCCGTCGTTGCCAGAGGGCCCTTCGTGCGAAGTTTTCGTGTCACCGTCCTGTATGGCCTTATCCATGCTTCAACCAGTTCCGACCAGGCACGGTCCTTCGCGATCTTGATCTCCTTTTGTAGCGAGCGCCGTAGCACGCGGTACGCTTGGTAGCGCAGCGAGACTTCTTCCTCGTCGCATCGTCGCCAGCGGCGGGCTCTCAGGTACCCTCTTCAGGCCCGGACACATCACGCCCTCAGCTCCGCGATGTCGGGAATACCAACCACGGGAACCAATACACGGCTCTGCTTCCCCCGATGTCCAGCGTGGTTCGCGGCATAGACGTGTCACATATTGCTGTCATGACTCGACGGAGGTTCTCGACCTCCTCCACGCTTGTTTCCGTCGGCGTCGTCGAGGCTTCCCAGTTCCAGGCAGCCACTTTTGCGGCCGCTCGAAGCAAATCGTCGTCCCTTTCTTTAATCTTCCACCTTGGTGGTGGGCGCGCGCGTCCTTTTCTCGGTGGACCGCGACCACCGCCCGC